TCCTAAGTGTATAGCTTAATAAATTTTCTTAAATGGAATATATTTGTTTAATCAGCACTTAGATCAAGAAACAGGAATTTACTAGCACCCAGACACCTCTCTTATGTTTTCTTTTCATCATTAGCCTCCCACTTTAATGAAAGTCTAGAGCAGTAATTTTCAACCAGTGTGCTGTGAAAATTTTTAAAGATCACTAATTAAATTATTTTTGAAAGAATTTAAAAGCCCAGTAGGTATATTCTTTTTTTAACTTTTTTTTTTGATAAGCATAATTTAAGTATGCTGCATACATTTAACTACAGGTTCAAGTGTGCCATGAGATTAAAAAAGACTGAAAAACACTGACCTGCAGCCTTTTGGTCATGGAGTTCTCCAGCTGTGCTCTGCATTTTTTTCCTGTGATAACCGCTCTTCTTAGATTTTTCTCCACTGCAGTCAATTCTGTAAGTAGTATTTTTCTGGAAGATTATTACATAAAATTGTATGAATTAACCTATTGTGATTTGAAAAGTTTCCCCCCAGATCCCATCTTCTCTAATCCTTAAAACTACAGACACTGGGTATGTTTTTCCAGATGTTCCATCAAGGTGCACATAACAGGATATTATAATTCCCGCGTGTGCGTGTGTAATAATGTTATTGAAAAGATACCTATCTCTCTGTGTGTCTGCCTAGTTAGCTGTCTAGCTATTTATCTAGCTCTCTGGGTAGATATGTACTTCACGTGGTGAGGCGTGAATGGAAGGGCCCTGATGAAAGACTGGCTAAAACAGATGTGGCTGAACTGTCTCTTTCCTCTTGCTTGTGCCTTCAGTTATTATGTGCTACCATCTTGCAAACCTGAGAGCAAAGCCAAGAGCATTATGAAGGCATCAGCCCTGCCACTGATGAACTGCTAAAATAACACCAGGAACCACCTGCCTCCAGAACTCCTGGTAAGTGCGATGTCCGTGTCCCTCGGGATCAAGGTTCTGTTATCTGCAACCAAACAAATGGCCAACTGATACAGTAAAGAAGATAGGTAAAGTTCTGTGTATAGACAGGAATGTTTAAATTCAGGAAGATTATCCTAGAGATACATAGTTCTCCAGCTCTAAAATGGGAACCTGGGTAGCAATTACTCATGTTAAGTCTTCATTGCAATGAACTTTTTACTGTGACCCTTATTAAAATTATCATCTGCATAAGTTATTCAGAATGTTTTAGATAGAATTTTACCTTTTTCACTTTTTTTTTTTTTTTTTTTTTTTGAGACAGAGCCTCAAGCTATCCCCCTGGGTAGAGTGCCGTGGCATTACAGCTCACAGCAACCTCCAACTCCTGGGCTCAAGCGAGTCTCCTGCCTCTGCCTCCCAAGTAGCTGGGACCACAGGCGCCCGCCACAACGCCTGGCTATTTTTTGGTTGCAGCCGTCATTGTTGTTTGGCGGGTCCGGGCTGGGGATTCGAACCCGCCACCTTAGGTGTACGTGGCTGGCGCCTTAGCCGGTTGAGCTATAGGCGCCGAGCCTACCTTTTTCACTTTTGAAGTTACATGTGTACAATGGAATAGGACCCACTTATGGGCCACATCCTAATAGGAGTTTGAAAGGATTTAATGAGATAATTCACATTAAGGGTATCTGACAATACCTGGCATTTGGTAAAGTGCCGAATAAATGTTAATATTATGTTTAAATAATTAATGAAAATCAAAAATAATGATGTTGGCTATTAGTACTTACATGGCGATCTTCCTTTCATCTTTCACATACTCATAAGAAAATGTACATCCTCAGAGAGGCCCTCCCTGGCTGTTCTATCTCAAGTGGAGTCTGCCCCAAATATCTCCTATTCCCCACTGCCTCCATCCTGCTTATTGTCTGAGACATTCTATTGACTATGTATTAGGGAAGTGTGTATCTCCCCTGCTGGAACATTAACCCCAGGAGAGCAGAACTCCCACTGGCATTAATTCCATGCCCTTTATGCATTTATTGATGAAGTCAGGACCAAAACCATTTAAGTAAGAGGAAGCTATTGATGTAGAATGGCTACCCAGATGTGGCCATTTCTTTTTGTATAGTTTTGCACACATTTAAATAAAAGTGGAGGTGGGCAAAAATTCTGCCCAATTCTAGACCCTCCTCATACTGTGAAAGGGCCTAGTGGTTTATTATTTTCAATCTCTGAAAGGTCAGTGAATAGCCATTTCCATTTGGCTTACACAGCCAAGTATGGAACAAATTGTTACCTTTAGAAAAATAATGTTTCTCATTTGAATAGATATAAAATCCAGCTTAAAAATTTTTAAGTAATGGCTTCTTCTTGTAATAAAAGACTTAGAACTTTAAAAACTTAGAGTTAAAAACTTATATTTTAAAATAGCTCCATAAAAGTTAAGTTTTGTCCCAGGATCAAAGGGAAAACAGAAACATAAAATGTTTTAAATACAAGGGTCCTAAGGCAGGGAAGCAACTGTCAGATGCAACCTGGGGCCTGATGGGGACAAGCCCTGCCCTGGCGGGGAGCAGGGGTCGGCCCAAGGCCCCCCCCCCCCCACGGAAGACTGCCCCACCTATACGCCGGATGTGGGATCCCACGGTTCCCGGCAGGATATCCTCTCCGGGTCATAGGTCATGGACTCCTGACAACTGGCGTCATGGAAAGAACACCGGAGACCTTTTCCTCTTTCTTCCTGCGTTTTTCGAGACTGCAGTATCTTGTAGGGGTCAAGCCGTGGGCTTTGGCTTCCTGAGTTTGAAGCCCATCTTCCCTCCTACTCCCCAAGTCTCTGGGGCCGCGCTAGGCTGGGGGTGTTCGTTGGAAAAGTGGTGGCCGCGGCCTAACCTGCTTGGTTGGGCCGCGACCAGCACGGCGTGGGTGCCGGCAACGGTGCCATCTATGGCCTCTCTTCTACTGTCAAGTCTCTAGTCGGTTTTAACAGCAAGGGGGTGGGGGAAGGCTCTGGGGTATCATATCCCTTGGCATAACTACTTTTGGCCTGGGAATTTTGCGCTTTCTAATTTTGATGAATAAGTGAAAAGAGCTGTGATAATCTTACGTGGTTTATGCAAAGAAGGTTTCAGGATTTATAAGGAGGAGGGGCCTGCAGGTGGCCATCTTGGAAGAGGAGCTGGCGGCTGGTTTTCAGGGGGTGTTTGTATGGTTACCATGGGGTCTTGTAGTTGCCCTTGATAGCTGCTGCCCAGGTTTGAGTGGTGTTTTTGGGGGGGTACTTTTGGAGGATCATGGTTAATTTGGGGGCTGGACTTCTGGCTGTATTTCATAGCAAGTGTTGATTTTTACTTGGCATGTACATTAACTTGGGGGGCTTTTGAGGACTGTTTTGTACTAAAATTTGCATAGCAAACTCTATTATTATGTGGACTGAATTTTATGTAGGAAGTTTGGAAAGGTGTACGGACACGGAGGGATGTGCTACTTTTTCTGCCCTCCTTGGGCTCATTGCTCATCTCTGGTAAGCAATACTAGATAATTAGCAATACTAATTTGGCTGGGATTACCTTGACTTGGAAGATAGGACAGGAGATGGATTTGGGGACTGGATTATGAAGGATCTTGATGTCCCATTTGGCTAACTTCAGAGGGCACAGTAGCTGAGGCTGAGAATAATGCTGGGAGCAGTGTACAGCCCTTCCTCCCACCTTTCCAGGGAGCCAACACCAAGTGTGACCACAAGCTGGAGGGATCAACCTTGGGGAGAAAGACTGGGGAACCCATGTGGACCTGGCTCAAGCCACACTCCAACTCTGGCCTCACTGTGTATGGGGCAGGGCCCGTGAGGGCGCATCTTCGCGTTTGGGGAAGGGCCCGTGAGGGTGCATCTCCGATATGGGGCAGGGCCCGTGAGGGCGCATCTTTGTGTTTGGGGCAGGGCCTGTGAGGGCGCATCTTTTCGTTTGGGGAAGGGCCTGTGAGGGTGCATCTCTGTGTATGGGGCAGGGCCAGTGAGGGCGCATCTTCGGGTTTGGGGCAGGGCCCGTGAGGACGCATCTTTGGGTTTGGGGCAGGGCCCGTGAGGACGCATCTTTGCGTTTGGGGCAGGGCCCGTGAGGGCGCATCTTCGGGTTTGGGGCAGGGCCCGTGAGGGCGCATCTTTGCGTTTGGGGCAGGGCCA